GTAAAACTGTAAACTTTTCGCGTACCTGGAGCGGGTTTTGCACAATCTTCATCAACCAAGCCATCTCCGTCATCATCTGCAAAAGAAAGGTAGCGTAGTGTCACATTAGAATCAAAGTTCTCAATGTCAAAATATGAATAAAATATGTTCCACTACCCGAAGGAAGATCAGGTCTCACAGATGTTTGTATTTGTCCATGAACACTGCAATATACATGGTCATTACTGTATGAATATTTTCGTTCTAGCGTAACTTGCATATTTTAAAGTCACTCTCTTTGTGCGAAATAACACTCTTTTTAGGAAAAACACGAATGTCAAAAAGGCGTTATTGACATGCATTTAATATGCGACGATTTGCTAGTTATTCAAAATTAGCATTGACTCGTGAATGTCATATAGTCAAAATGCAGTATTCTAAAACAAGTTTGAGTCGATGCTCTAAATACTTCAAACATTGTTTTCCACTGCCTAAATCTTAAAAATGCTAGAGAGTTGTATCAAAATGTCCGAGTTTATCACATGCTAAGTGAATTAACTACAGCACTGGATTGTATGGTATTTATGCTGGTTTTTTTTTAATTTTATCATATACATATGTCTATCTTTTACCCAAATATCTAACACTGAATTTTAATGTAAACACCATTTCTACGACGTCACAGATTAAGCCACAGAATGTGACGCGTACCACATGTGTGATGGCCACATGCTTCCTTGCAATATCTCAGTTTAGCTGATGTGTTAACGAATCCTCGAAGCTTAATGCAACAGATTTCTGTGGACAATTTTAGATGTAGAAATGAATGAAAATTCCTCGGTATAGTGAAATCCTTAGTAAGAGTACCACATTAAGTTCGCACGTTTAAGTCACGTGATCATCTCGTTACTAACCTGCTCCGCCATTGGCTGACGTACAGAGCTCCTCGTCTATCAGGCCGTCACAGTCGTTGTCCAAACCATCACCAACCACAGACGTAGAGTTAACACATACCTGTAATTATGATAACTTATATTCACTTATACCTAGTATACCCTATCTACATAGCAGCGTGTCTGGTATTTCTGTTGATCCCATGGCGGGGAAATAATTCAAATCGGGAGATAATAAAATAGTAACGTTTAGACCAGAAACTCTTTCAATGATATTATTTGATATGTATTGTCCTCGCTGTCGGGAAACAAACAATCGTGTTCCACGTCTGTAATAGCAATAAGTATTTGATGATATCGTGATAGATTATTAGGCCACCCTTGTCATCACATGGAACACAGAGGTGATACATTTTACTATATTTCTAATAAGCCCACATTTTAGGGAAATAAATAAGGGAAACGCGAGTACGACAGGTAAATACAATGTTTAATTTCAAAGATCACGTGCTCTCAATAAACCCCTTTCAGATATGCTTTTAAATAAAGCATTATTACCTTTATCGCCAGTGGTTAATTTCAAAGATCACGTTCTCTCAATAAACCCCATTCAGATATGCTTTTAGATCAGGTATAATTACTTTTATGTGAAACCAATCCTAGCATTTGGCGATACGGTCAAATATAAAAGCAATGCTTACAGTGTTGATTGGGGCCATGCGCATGCCTGTTGTAAATCCGTATGTCTCGTACTTTGCTTGGCCGTATAAATAGCCACCGAATATGGAGATGGTAGAGGTGTGCCGAACCNGTAATCTGCAGCGAACTGTTCGATAGGCGGAATAATCATCATCATCGGATCAGATTCCTCGCCACTACTCTGCTGACTCAAACAAAATTGCACCAAAAGAATTGGTTTGTCTGAAGTAATTTTGCAGTAAGCAGTAGAAGGGATTTCCTTTTCAACCATATCACCAGCGTTAGTGATGGTAAAAGTTTCGGTATAACCGCCTGTAATTGTCACTGTTGTGGAGCTCTCACTCGGTATGAACCGGAAGTAGTCACCAACTGTCCGCAACGGGATGGGAACTGTGATAAAGTTCTTGCCCCAGGAATCGATCCTCGTCAGTTGTTCTACTAAATGATCGGAACTTCCCCCCGACCCGATCTTTGTCTTCTTGTTGCCACTGAATACAGCAATGTTTTTGTCAGCGACGATCATGGTGCCGCTAAGATCGCCGGTGCTGTAGAATTGAAACGTATCGTATCTGTCCATTGAAAGTGAGAAGGAATCTCCGGAGAAGTAGTAGTCACTATCGTAGTAGACGTAATCGCTATTGCCGATTGCTGACCCAAGGGTCACCGTTACTGAGGTGGAGTCATTTACGGCAGCAATCAAGATCTCGCACTGTCGTGATGGGGGATAGTAGGTGATGGCGAGGTATTCCTTACCAAGGACGTCGGTGGGAAGGCCGAGAAAGGCATCACCCGAATACGTTTCCTTGTTGACCCCATAAATCACAACTTCATCATCCGCGCTGATCAATATACCCTTGGAATACATGTTCGTCCCCGACATACGAATCAACGGCGAGAACGACAACTCTTTAACAACACCAGCAGTAACGGTGAAACTCTCGCTGATTCCCGCGGAAGAGTAACGAGGAGCTGAAATTTGGACGTTGACAGTGGTTGTTTTCATTGACGTAACGAAGAGCTCCACGGCAAAGCTAGCCGCGATATTTTCCATGTAGCCGATGATGAACTCTGTACCAGCATTGTCAGGTGCACCTGTAATTTTTTAACGCTTATTAGTATTTATTTTTATAAAGTTTTTAAAAATATATATATTATCTTTGTACAGTCCTTAGATACACTTTTACCAACTAAAAATGTTGTTATAATCTAAAACAAAACAGCGAGAACCATTACACGTGAATGTTTTCCAATCAAAAGTTTCAGCAATCAGTGACCAACCATGACGTGACGTCAAATCATTTTGACGGACATTCCCGAATGTTTTGCGATCGACATTCGCCGCCTGATGGCACTGGTCACCTTGAAAGCACGATCATGTTTCCGCAAAATGGGCATTTTTGCCAATTGGAAAGACATTTTTGTTTAAAATGTAATTTGAACCAAACAGATCCATAAAGAACGGTAACTAACATTATCGATGCTGTTTTGAACGTAAATATAAGGATAGAAATGCTTTTTAAAAGAATATTTTCATATAAACTTTCGAAGATGTGCTTATTCAGTCCTTAAATGTAACGAAACGTGCCTTATCCACTTGTAAAACTCGCTTTAGGCGATTGCTCAGTTGAAATTCGACAAAGTCATACCGCATTCGCTCAATTCCACATGCTGATACATTATATAGGATTGATGCGTGATATTTGATAGATACGTGATATAGGATAGACACGTAA